ATAGAGCTAAGGAAGCCCAAATCATGAATAAAATCAGTTTAGAACATGGCCAAAATATGCTAGAATCAATGGCCAAAACAACATGCAATGGAAGCTAGTGAGCATGGTTTACACTACAAGCATATGAAGCATTCAAGAGGCCACTAAACCAGCAAAATTCAGAGACATGACATGCCAAATAAAGCCCAAAAACCCACTAAAACATGATCAATTCATGCAAGAATGACATGCTCCTTTGATAGGCTATAAGAGGGTTTATTCTACACATGCAAGAAACACACCCAAGGTGACAAAACCAACTCTGGAAAGAGCCTAGGCAGGCCCTAAAAGTCACTAAAAAGGGCCTGAAACAAGGCTTGGAGGTGTGCAAATGAAGGCTTCTTTGTAAGGCCAAAAATGCTAGTGAACAAGACAAGGAAAGAGAGGGTCACCCCTCTCTGATTTTGGCTCTCAAAAACATATGTTAACCACTGAAAATCCGCTGGATTTCATTGGTTAAAAGTCCAAGAAAAGGTCAACACAAAGGCCTTAGGGCATGGCTCAAAACATGGCAAAATGAAGCATGCGAGGGGGTAGATGACCCCCAACAACAAAATGACCCCCAATAGCAAAATGACCTTAAACAAACATTAAAAGGACCTTAAAACAAGACCTTTTTTAGTTGACAACAAAGCTCAAATATCCATGCAAATAAGACTAAGAGATGGATCGAAATAAAGCTTAAAAGAGGAAAAAAGTGTGTTACCCTTGAAGCTTAGCAAGACAACAACTTCTCCAGCCTAAAACCAACTCTTTGAGACCTTTCAAGACCCTCCAAGAACCTTAGAACAATGGTGGAGATTTGTGGCTATGAGGTGTGATATAATAGGTCAATAACAAGACCCTTTTGAACCCAAAACAAAGAGATATAGAGGGAAGTGTATGCACAAGCCTTAGACAATTTTCTCAACCTGGTGTAAGGAAGAGGAGGGCCTCTCTTATAGAGATACAAGGCCAAAGCATCCTCAAGAAGCTAAAAACCAAGGCTCAAGATCCTCCATACACGTGTATGGAGGTTATAGTCTGTGCCTTCCAGCTGGCACACAATCACACAGACAAAACTGAGGGAGGCAGGCCGACCAGTTCAAGTGGTCGGCCGACCACTTCCCCTGGTTGGCCGACTAGTTCAAAAGGTTCAGGTCAATGAAAGGTGGTCGGCCAGCCCATTTGATGGTCTCCCAACTCAATGCAAACTAGTGGTATGTTGGGAGACCAGTAAATGTGGCTCAAAGACCAAGGTGTATGAGATTACGTTGGGTGAGTAGAATTTGGGATTTTTGGTTGGACTAAGGATCATCTGTTCTAAAAATTTTATCACTATCTTAAAATACTTTAAATTACTAAATCATGTGAGAATGTTAAGGTTTAAAAATTTTGAAAACTAATTTAGGTATTTCGGAATTACAAAGTAAAATTTTACTTTAACTCTAGCCTTTGCTCATTACGCTTTGATTTCTGTAGTGTTTTGGTCCTACAATTTCAATGCTTTGAAATTCACTTGCTGCATGAATTTTTCAAAGTAAAATATTACTTCCAACCAGAGTAAAATTTTACTTATTACAGAGTAAAATTTTACTTTAAATCTAGCCTTTGCTCATTATGCTTTGATTTATGTAGTGTTTTGGTTCTGTCATTTCAATGCTTTCAAATTCACTTGCTTATAAAGAGAGTAAAATTTTACTTATTACAGAGTAAAATTTTACTTTAATTCTAGTCTTTGCTTATTACGCTTTGATTTTTGTAGTGTTTTGGTCTTGGCATTTCAATACTTTCAAATTCACTTGTTTATAATGAGAGTAAAATTTTACTTATTACAGAGTAAAATTTTACTTTAACTCTAGCCTTTGCTCATTATGCTTTGATTTCTGTAGAGTTTTGGTCCTGCAATTTCAATGCTTTCAAATTCACTTGCTTCATGAATTTTTAGAGTAAAATTTTACTTCCAATCAGAGTAAAATTTTACTTCCAATCAGAATATAATTTTACTTTCAATAAAAGTAAAATTTTACTTTCAAATTCACTTGTTTATAATGAGAGTAAACTTTTACTTATTACAAAGTAAAATTTTACTTTAACTCTAGCCTTTGCTCATTACGCTTTGATTTCTGTAGTGTTTTGATCCTGCAATTTCAATGCTTTCAAATTCACTTGCTTCATGAATTTTTCAGAGTAAAATTTTACTTCCAATTAGAGTAAAATTTTACTGTCTCATTACAATGCTTGTGCATTTTGTTTAGTGCTTATTTGTTTTGTCACATTATTGTTTACAGTAAAATGTTACACTGTTGATACAGGGAAACTTTTTAGTGTTTGAAAATGGTTGTTAGAAGAAGCAAATGTGGTGATGATGATGATGATGATGATTTTGAAGCTCTACCAACGGTTATACAAAAGAAGAAAGTCCCTAAAAAAAAGAGCAAAAGTAGTAAAGAAAGTTCTTCGAAGTTGAATATTGTACATGGAGTACGGGAGAAGTGAGAACTATATGAAACAATATAGGCCAAATATTGTTTCATTGATAAACCTAATGCGAGACACGAGGTTCACTAAAAGACACATTACTGCCCTTGAGAGAACACCTTTTAGGATGTTGTTTAAATATTTTTGGAAGAAAAATGATGTGGTGTTAAAGAAGTTTAAGAAAGTTGATGATAATGTCATGGATGTGATCAACTCTTATGACTTTCATGCAAAGGGATTTAAGCTTGGGGGGAAAACATGTGACATACGGGACAGTGATGTTACTTTGATTTTTGGGATAAAATCGGGAACGAAAAAAATAGATCTGTCATATGGGAAGAAACAAGAATCACCTTTTGTGTAGAGAAGGTTTCGTAATATGTCAAGAATATCTGTAAAGAGTTTACGAGAGGCATTAGGAGATGTGTTAGAAGGCACAACGAGAGTTGATGTTGAGGATATTGCACGAATAATGTGTCTATTTGTTGTGGCGACTTTGCTATTACCGACAGCTGGTCTAACAGTTGGATGGGCCTTTGTCGCCCTTGTAGAAGATTTGGAAATGATGAATTCGTATGCATGGTCGACTGCAGTTGCATCCACGTTGATTACTTCAATCCATTCTTCATTAGGAAGTCCTGAAAAGGTCACTGGATGTGTACTTCTTCTTTTGGTAAGTAAATTGAATTACTTTAAATATTATGCAATGTATCTTTAGAGAATTAACTAATTTCAATTTTTTATTTTATAGTACTGGTTATGCGAGCATACTACGCTCATTCAACCTTAAGGAAAAAATTTGTGTCCAAGGCTCCTTCGATGGGACTTATCAACATTGAGGAAAAAGCTAATGAAGAGGTCATTGCAAACACTAAAGCCCGAAGAGGTATCATCTTTCCAAACTCAGCCTTACTGGTTCATTTTGTTTAAAATTATACTTACATAATAAAATCTTACTCTTGAACAGAGTAAAAGTTTACTTACAATCAGAGTAAACTTTTACTTTGAAACATAGTAAAATTTTACTTACTCTTGAAGAGAGTAAAAGTTTACTTTAAATCAGAGTAAAAGTTTACTTACAGTCAGAGTAAAATTTTACTTACTCTTGAACAGAGTAAAAGTTTACTTTAAATCAGAGTAAACTTTTACTTTAAATTAGAGTAAACTTTTACTTGCAGTCAGAGTAAAATTTTATTTACTCTTGAATAGAGTAAAAGTTTACTTTAAATCAGAGTGAAAGTTTACTTTAAATCAGAGTAAAATTTTACTTACAGTCAGAGTAAAATTTTACTTACACTTGAACAGAGTAAAAGTTTACTTTAAATCAGAGTAAACTTTTACTTACCGTCAGAGTAAACTTTTACTTACTCTTGAACAGAGTAAATTTTACTTAAAATTAGAGTAAAAGTTTACTTACAATCAGAGTAAACTTTTACTTTGAAACAGAGTAAAATTTTACTCTAGTGGTTAGAGTTTGCTTAATTGCTGGCTTCTTTTCTTTTGTCTATTTTTCAAATGCAGGTAAATCATAATGAACTGAAGCCCATTTCCAGAGAAGAAATGGAACTCATTTGCAATGATGATGAAGAAGATGCATTGGACATAGAGAAAAATTTGGAGACTGAAGAAGATGCATTAGACATGGAGGAAAATTTAGAGGCTGAAGAAGATGCATTGGACATGGAGGAAAATTTGGAGACTGAAGAAGATGAAGATCATGTAGCTGAAGCTTTAGGAGATGATCAACCTTTGAAGGACTTCATTGATCTTCAGAAGGAAAACAAGAGGCTGAAAAGTGAGAATATGATGTTGGTTGAAGAACTAAAGAAAATGAGGGAAACAATGCAAAAAATAAAAAAGGATCAAGAGGCAAAAACAAAAGAAATAATGGAAAAGATAAGCAACACAGAGAAAGAAATGGAGAAACTAAGAGAGGAGATTGAAGTGCTTGAATCTGAAAATAAACAGTTGGTTGAACAGATTGAAGAAAATGCAGTTCATGCGACTACCCAAGGTTTTGCTTCTAAAGAAATGGCACATGTTAAAGGAGTAGAACAAGAGCAAAACATTAGGATTCAAAGTACATTGAAAGAAACACCTATAGTCGTAGAGCCATTGCAAACATCCATGGTCAGGAAAATCAAAATCAAGGCGAGTAAGAAAAAATAGATGTCTGATTTTGAATGTGAGCCAAGAGAGGCAAAGAAAAAAAAGACTACAAAACAAGCAATTAAAGTGATGTCAAAAGAAGTGATTTGTGTTGACAACTTGTCTCTAAGCCAAGCAAAGCCAGTTGAAAGGGTTTTGTTTCCAGATAAGGCTGCAATATGCAAATTGCTTGATGAGAATGATAAGTGTCTACTGAACAAGATTTACAATTTGGAAATCACAGAGTAAGACCATTTTAATTTTGTCAAACAACAGATTTTTATTGTTATCAAACTGCAACGTGTTAATCAACATTTTTTTTACTTTATGACTAGTGCAATCATATGGTCTAACACAGGAAATGGAGTATATGTTACATTGCATGATGTGGATGCAATTCTGAGAGATGGTGATACTGCAAATAATGTAAGTGGCCATACAAGTTTCAATGACTAGTGTTTACTTCAATAATTAAAAATAGTTCATTTTATTAACATATATTTAATTGATTTTTGTTTTTGTAGGTCATTGACAGCTTCATAGAAATGCTTGAGATTGAGCAACAAGTCAAGAAGCCAGAAAAGAATAAATCATTCTTTTTCTCAAGCCTTTGTTGGGTAAGCCATCAATTTGTATTTAGTTTGAATTGATAAATTTTTACTATGGTTTAGTGTAACATTGTACTGTATTTTAGAGTTAATTTTTACTATTTGGTTTATCAAAGATTGACAACTCATACAGTGTGTCACTAACACAACTTGAGACATGACACTCTTATATGATTAAATGTAGTCTTTAGTGAAATGGGGTTATGGGGAGCTGAGAAATCATTTAATTGATAAAGTCCTTGAACAAGATTTGAGTGGATATAGATACCTTCATTTTTGCATGAATTCCAATGGGAACAAAAAGGAAGAAAAACCTTACCACTGGACACTTCTTGTATTTGACATTGAACTTGATGAGTGGAGACATTACAATTCTTTAAGGCCAAGAGACAACAGAAAAGATCATTACCTTAAGGATGCAAAAAAGGTTGTAAGTGCTTTGCATCATATTAACAGTAATTTTTTGCTGTGTTTTATTCTTGAATTTAATCGTGACCCAACAATTATGCAATGATGTTAGATAACATATGTGGATAGCAAGTTAGCCAACAAAACGAAGAGAGGTAGAAGAAAGTTTTCAAACTTGGTTTCGGTGAAAGATAGTCCACAACAACACCCAACATCGTAAGTATTTCACGCTACTATTACATGCTTGAATTGGTAGTTTTCAAATTTGACTAAATCTAACAAGATATTGATTTTTATTTAACAGTGTTGATTGTGAGATTATTGTATGTTATATCATGCGCCAAATTATAAGAGATGAGCCTATTGCAAATTCTATGGAAGATGATGAAATTAACAATTTTCGAGCGTCAATAATGCATCAATTTTTGAATGATTATCCAAAAGCATGGACTGAGGAACACTTCAACCTCAAAAAAAAAAAAAGGGCAAGAGCTAAGACCTCAAGGATGACAATGTGGACAAGTTCTGGGGAACTACTGTGAATAATTTTTGTAATTTTGGTTTTTGTAAATGAAAGAACGGTAAAAAAGTAATTGTAAATGAAAGAACACTAAAAGAGTATTAGATAGTAGATGTTATGTCTATTGTTCTAGTAAATTTTACTGTGGTTTGGTGATTAATACATTATTATAAAAGGATATTTGTTTTGACTGGGAATGAATGTTGCTATGGATAAAATATAATGATACAGGTAGAGGCTTAAATTTTTTTTGACTGAATGTTGCTATGAATTTTGCTTTGATTGGGAATGTAAGTGGAATGAATGTTGCTATGAATGTTGTTTTGACTGGGAATGAATGTTGATGATATATGTAGTTGTGTTGTTAGATTTTTTTTTGCACAAAGATTGCCTGATGATCATCAGGGGAGTTTGTGTGTTGTGGATTTTGGTGCAGGTTGGAAATGTTTTTCTAAGGGGACTAACATATTTTCTGAAATAAAGTAAAATTTTACTTTGAAATGAAGTAAAATTTTACTATTTTACTTTATATTCTGAAAGATGAGTAAATTGTTGCACTCTGAATCTAAAAGTAAAATTTTACTCTGAAATAAGAGTAAAATGTTACCAGAAAAATCTAAAAATAAAATTTTACTCTGTATAAAAGTAAAATTTTACTCTGAAATAAGAATAAAATGTTACACTCTGAATTTAAGAGCAAAATGTTACAGCCGGAATAAGTAAAATTTTACTCTATATGAAAGTAAAATTTTACTCTGTACAAAAGTAAAATTTTACTCTGTATGAAAGTAAAATTTTACTCTGATGGGCGAGTAAAATTTGGACTCTAAATCTAAAAGTAAAATTTTACTTTTGTACAAAAGTAAAATTTTACTCTATATGAAAATAAAAGTTTACTTTGAAGGGCGGGTAAAATTTGGACTCTAAATCTAAAAGCAAAATGTTACTCTGCACTAAAGTAAAATTTTATCTTCCATAAAAGTAAAATTTTACTCTGAAATAAGGTAAAATTTTAATGTAAAAGTAACATTTTACTCTAAACATAGTAAAATTTTACTGTGAAACCACAGGCTCATCACACCCATAGACAACCATTCAACGACAAAACAAATCTGAAACTAGAACAGACAACCATTCAAGAACATAATAAAAATGTCTTTTATTGCAATGTCTCCTTACAAATCTAGTCTAAAAGACTATACTATTATTGCTATGGACTACTTATTGCAGAAGAACTGCATTATTTTCATACTTTTATTACAAAATCAATAATGTCTTTCACAACAATGCCTCCTTACAAGTCTTTCTATTATGACCGTACTTCTTGCATCTACCACACTGTACTCGTCTTATCTTCTCACCCCGAGATGGGATCATATTCTTCCTTGGTCTACCAGGTGGCTTTTTACAAATTGGAGGAAGGACAACAAGATCATCCATAGCTACATGAGGTTTCTCAACAGTGGGTATTGGATAAATGGCCTCAGCATAGCAATCTTTGAACTTGCTAGTGTAATAAAATGGTTCCACATGTGCATACAAATCACCTCCGCTCTTTTGGATAGCAGTCGCCGCGTGAGCACAAAGAAATCCATTCAATTGCCATTGGTAACATGAGCAAGTTCTATTCAAGAGGTCAACGCTAACCGATGGCCGGGATTGAACCTCAAAAACATGATCACTTGAACGACTAACCAACCAAGTTCTTCCACTTTTAAGAGCATTTACTAATGTTGAATCCATCTTCGGACAAAGAAAAGTATTCCATTTCTTAGCTTGTTCTCTCCTTCTTGACATCAAATCCATGATCTTCAACCTAATTGAATCAATCATCTTTGTAGTGGGCAAATGGCGAGCTTGACAGATCCATGAATTGAAAGACTGCCACATTCGAGTGCATTTCACTGTATTTTTGTCCTTTAAAATGTGCATTAGTCCACTTGTCATAGGGCAAATTGGATAGAAACCCACAAACGATCCCTTTTCCCTCATCTTGTAATTCTTTCAAGCACTAATTAAATCATCCCACTGTCGGAGCGTAAGCACACAAAGAAAACAAAAAAACTATTATACTCCTGAAAGTATTGCTGAAACTTGGACCAGAGAACCTATCTTTCAAATTGGCCTTCAAGTGTTGGAGACAAAAATAATGGTAAGCAGTAGGTAAAACCTTGGGTAAAGCCTCCAAAAGTCCAGCGTTCCAATCAGATATGAAGGTAATTGGTCTTTCATCCAATAATATATTCGACGAATGCATAAAAAACCAGTCCCAACTGTCTGTAGTCTCTGTATCGACAATTGCCATTGCAAGAGGGAAAAAACCTGAAAAATAACATTTTACAATTAGTAAGTATATTAAATGAAAAGGACAAATATAGTAGATTTTTACTCTGAATAACAGTAATATGTTAATCTGAGAACAAGTAACTTGTTACTTTGGAATAAACTATAGTAATATCTACCTTGATCCCCATCATTCACTGTAGCTTTTAACAAGGTGCCCTTATATTTCCCCTTCAGAAAAGTTTCATCAATAAACAATAGAGGACGACAATGCCTAAACCCTTGAATGGAAGCATTAAATGCAACAAAAAACCTCTTGAACCGTCCACTATGATGGTTATAGTCAAGACGCAAATAGCTACCAGGATTTGTGTTCATCACAATATCCATATACCATCGAATCTCATCATAAGACATAGAGAAATCTCCAAAAGTAGTAGTCCTAGCTTTCTCAACTCCTAACCAAGCGTGATTGTACGTAATAGTGGGCCCGTATTGATCTGTAAATTGACGCACAACATCAATTGGATGAGTTTGGGGATTCCCACAAACTTCATTAACGATCAAACTTGCAACCAAATTTGAACTCATCCTTGAGTTTTTAGAAGTGCGAACTGCAGCTCCACAAGTATGCTCATCATGTAGAGTCCTAATGTAGAAAAAATTATTAGCACTTTCTAGAGATGCATGTACTCGCCATAAACAAGCTTTCGACTCCCGCATTAAACACACAGCAGTGACCCGACACTTCTCATTCTTCGCATACACAAACTCAAATCCTATCTCAATGGCATATTTACATAATGCAGTCCGGAAATCCTTTGCACCTCCAATAAATCTTTGACCTACATGAGTAATTCCATTCACCCATCCACAAGACAACAAAGTCCTTTCTTCATGTTGACAAAACATAGGGAGTAAATCCATTTCATCATTAGTAATGTTGGATCCAGTAGCGTCCCTTGATTCTCTAACTCCATGTTTTTCATTTGAAATGCCCATTTCAGTAATAGTCACATCAACCTGGTCAACACCAAGGGGATAAACAAGCGACAACATATTCTGAAAATTAGAATCATCATCAATCATGCATTACGAATGTCCAAGCAAACAATACGATAACAGTATGTAACCACTATTGTCAAACTTCTTCACAACTTAAGAAATCAGTTAAATCCTTCAACGTGTAGTTTGACACAACCTTGAACACAATGGTACGATCACCATACTTGCATAACAACATAAGAGGTGGAACCATTTTACAAATCTGCAATCAATTAATAGTAAAATTTTACTGTCACTATCAAAGTAAAATTTTACTATCACTATCAAAGTAAAATTTTACTGTCACTACAATTTGTGTTTAGTTTGAATTGAAAATTTTTTACTGTGGTTTAGTGTAACATTGTATTATATTTTAGAGTTAATTTTTACTATTTAGTTTGCCAAAGATTAACAACTTATACAGTGAGTCACCAACACAACTTGAAACATGAATCTAAAAGTAAAATTTTACTCTGCATAAAAGTAAAATTTTACTCTGATATAGGAGTAAAATGTTACAAAAGGAATCTAAAAGTAAAATTTTACTCTGCACAAAAGTAAAATTTTACAAAAGGAATCTAAAAGTAAAATTTTATTCTGCATAAAAGTAAAATTTTTCTCTGCATAAAAGTAAAATTTTACTCTGATATAGGAGTAAAATGTTACAAAAGGAATCTAAAAGTAAAATTTTATTCTGCATAAAAGTAAAATTTTACTCTGCATAAGAGTAAAATTTTACTCTGAATCTAAAAATAAAATGTTGCGGACTGAATTTGAAAGTAAAATTTATTCTGTATAAAAGTAAAATTTTACTCTGTATAAAAGTAAAATTTTACTCTCATTGTAAACAGAGTAATCGAACCAGAGTAAAATTTTACTCTGATATAGGAGAAAAATGTTACAAAAGGAATCTAAAAGTAAAATTTTATTCTGCATAAAAGTAAAATTTTACTCTGAATCTAAGAGTAAAATGTTGCGGCCTGAATTTTAAAGTAAAATTTTACTCTGTATAAAAATAAAATTTTACTCTCATTGTAAACAGAGCAATCGAACCAGAGTAAAATTTTACTCTGATATAGGAGTAAAATGTTACAAAAGGAATCTAAAAGTAAAATTTTATTCTGCATAAAAGTAAAATTTTACTCTGCATAAAAGTAAAATTTTACTCTGGATCTAAGAGTAAAATGTTGCGGCCTGAATTTGAAAGTAAAATTTTACTCTGTATAAAAGTAAAATTTTATTCTCATTGTAAACAGAGCAATCGAACCAGAGTAAAATTTTACTCTGATTGTTTGAAACAAAAGGCACAGCAATAGAACCAGAGTAAAATTTTACTCTGATTCTGTCAAACGAAATCAGATCAAACACAACAAAAATAAATCAAAAAAAAAAAAACAAAAACAAAGAAAATTAATTAACAAATCAACAAACTTAATTGAGAAGAAAAACTTCTACAACTCGATCAACAATCACAAATCTCAATAAAACTCTCATTTAATTGAGAGTGTTGATCATCGGCCACCAAGTGAGATCAGCTGCGAGATCTTCAGATTTAGAGATCGTCTTCTCGATTTTGTGAGGTATGATCGATTTGGAGATCGCCTTTATCGTCTTCATCGGCTGCGAGCTCAGATTTCAAATTTTTTATACGTATGATACTATATACATAAGGGCAATATTGTGATAAAAAAAAATAAAAATTATAAAATGTCCTTATTAAGGTAGGCATTTCCTACTCAGGGGCTTTTTGAAAGAAAATTAATTAAATTATCCTCTATCCTAATAAAAAGGCGCAAAAGGGAGGTTTCACCAAAAATCCCTAAAACAAAAGGCAATATTTGGTTTTTAAAAAGTAGTGGGCCTCATCTGATAATTCAACTTTTGTTTGGGTTGGCTGACCTGGTCAGTATACAAATCCAATCACCATTGTACTTCAATAACCCAACATCGAATCTAGCTGAACATGACTGGGTCAGAATCTACAACATCACTATATTATTTAAATTATATCATTTTATTTAAATTATTTTTTCATCAAATTACTTTAAACTTAACTCATATTTAGGTCTCGTTTAGAAACATGCTAATTTAGTAACTTTTTGACTATTTAGCTAAAATATGAGCTAAAAAAATTAGTATGTTTGGGATAATTTTTTGACTTTTTACGAAAAGATGTGCAAAAAGTAGAGAAAAAAAAGAATTTTTGACTTTTTGGTATGAGTTGTTAGCTTTTTGGCAAATGTAGTAATTTTTTGATTTTTTGGCTAAAAATGAAGGTTCCCAAACGAGGCCTTAATCCATATTTCATAAAAAGTCAAAAGGTACACTTATTTAGATCATCTCAAACCATCCCTTAGATTAACAATGATATTAACCTATAATAAAAATGAAAAAATAAGTCCTAATGAATTTTTTTTAATATATATATATATATATATATTTTGGGTATGAAAAACGTGAATAATTAATGTGTTTGATTTATGATTTTAAATATATTTTTTTTTAGTTTTTGACTTCTTTTAATATTTTTTAGCCTAAAGGTTAATGTCAAACAAGACCTAAATCTTATTATTGAAATAAATGAAAAAATTGAATAAAAAAAAGAAATAAATAAAAAAATTATTGGATGGCGGGATTAGTTCAGCTTGGTATAGTGTTACTTGTGACATTGTCTATTTGATAATATCTAGGAGTATCATGATTTTTTTGTCTCGTTATTAAATTTTGCTCTAAATTTTTGTAAAAAATTTATTTTTTAGGTCTACGTAGTTTGGAAATATCTAAATAGTAAATTTTTAGTCTTTGAAAAAAATTTGTAAAAAGATATTAAAGACAAAAAAAATAAAAAACAATTTATATATTTTTGTCTTTTGCTCATTAGTGTAGTAGGATTTAAAATTGAAAAGTTTTAAAATTTTATTTAACAAAAAGTTTACTAAATATGAAAAAAAAAAATCAACAAAAAAAAGCTAAAAAAGAAATTGACAACCCAATTTGAATAATCAGGAATTCTACGTGCACAAATTTTTTATTATAAAGAAGTACATACATATCAAATCACTAAAAATGAATTCTGTAGTGAATTCATAGTTTGTAAACTACGCAGTTAAGAGAGAAACTGTTCTCTCTAAACCTTTTTCTTGTTTCTAGGACTTTCGTTTTTTGAGCGCCGTTTGGGGGGGAGAGAGAGAGAGGGGGGCTCAGGCCTCTGGACACCTCTCTCCTCCTCTCTACCCCTTTCTTTCTTCCGTTCCCTTTGCCATCTCTGGTCAATAAGCTTTGGAAGCTTTGCTTTCCATCTTCTCCCTCCTTGTGAGGTATTTTTCCCCTTATGGTGGATTTTTGTGTGTTTTTCTTCATTTCCTCTTCCCCTCTGCTTACCCCAGTCGAAGCCTTCACCAGATTCGTCGTCCTCCTCCTCTTAGCTTCACACTAGCACCGCCACCACCACATCGTCACCAAATCTTCCACCTCTCACTGGATCTACGGCCTCCACCATCTGGCCTTCTAGGTTCTTCTCGTCCAACTCGTTTGGTGTAGATCTGGGACAGATCTACTACCGATCCGGTTTGCGGTTGAGTTATTGTATTCTTTTTGTGTTATGTTTTATTTTGGTGTGATTTTGTTTCTAGAATCCATTTGTGCCTAGTGTTGCTTACCCACATTGTGGTTGTAATATATGATCTATCATCGACATGCGACATGCTCAGTACGAGCACAAGCATTGTTGTGCAGCTGGGTATTCTTCATAGGTTTACTCTTGTTTTTTCTTTGATTTTCATTTTTCCTTTGATGGTGTAAGATTATGTTGGATGGATTCATATCCTTGTAAGTGCCGTTTGGCTACTTTAATGGAAATTACTCTTCTGATCAAAAAAAAAAAAAAAACTATAAAAATCATTAGTGCAATTCGCCCTGTAATAAAAGGAAAGTTTGGTCACCAAATTTATCCATTTAGAATCTTTTAGGTGGATGATTGTTTGGTGGAAATTAAATTTATATAGCCAGAAAAAAAAAAAAAAAAAGAAAAAAAAAAAAAGAGAGAGAGAAGGTTTTCCAAGAAGAGCCCACTTCATTGTTATATCCCAAACCCAATTGTATAATTGGACTTTTCAAATTTGAGGTACAACAAAAAGGCAACATTGATAATCCATCTTTTATTTGGGTTTAGCCTATTTGTTTTTCTGACCAGGTCAGTATACAAATCCAATCCACCATTCTATTATTTTTTTTGTTTTAGAACCCAACATTTGACTCCAGATGCATAATAAGGAATTTTTTACTGTATTTATTGACTTGTTTTAGAAGGTTAAGTTATTATGTTTGAGAAAAGTATAATAGGAAATTTTTTACTGTGTTATATTAGAGTGTTACGTTTGAAAAAAAAATACATTAAGAAATTTTTTAGTGTTACATTAATTGGAGTGTTATGGTTAAGAAAAGTATACTTAGGAGTCTATGTTAAATGTTATATTATTACGTTTGAGAAAAATATGATAAGAAATTTTTTAGTGTGTTATATTAGAGTGTTATGTTGAAAAAAATACATTAAATAATTTTTTTAAAGTATTACGTTTAGTAATTTTAATATTATGAGAATATTCACACTTGTCATTTAACACGTGACACATATATATATTTATGTTTTATGAAATTCATACTAAAATAAGACATTTGAGTAGATAAAAAAAAAGAAAAAAGAAGAGAAGATCAAATAGTACATAAGATAATTTATTTGTTATTTATTGACACAAAATAATAAAAAAGAATGTACCGTACCAAACAGGAAAAAAGAATGAAATAATGATGATAAGATTTAAAGCCGCCAGACTCAAACCAAGTAATAGTGGGGTTGTATATTTCTAGTTTGGAGTTAACAAAAATGTTGAAGATTTTAAAAATTTTATCAGAATTTTTATTAAATATTTTACATAAATATAGAATTTACATAAAATTCACATAATATAAATCTCTCATTTATATAAAATATTTAATAAAAATTTTAATAAAATTTTTAAGACTTCTAAACTTACTTTTGAGTTAAT